AACTTTGTGGTGCAAGTCCCAGATCTGGTAGCTTGAAAAAACACACTGGGCACATGTGTATCTGTGCCCAAAATCCCAAGAGGAGAATAGAAAGAGTAGGGATTGCAGCATGGCCACGCCCTAATGGGCGATTTCTCACTTTCCCTCCTTCTCTGTCTAGCTCCAGAAAGTGTACATGCTCTGTAGCAAAAAAAACTAAAAACTAAATTAATAATCAAATCTATTGATATTCATTTTATCATTTAAAAATATCTGATTTGTGGAGCTAGCAGGTGACATGGTGGTTAAGGTGCTGGACTTCCACATGCCCAACCGCAGTAAAAATCTTGAACCTTACGGCTTGAAATTCATGCCGGAGTTATGTGCGTATATATGTCCAAAATCCCAAGAGGAGAATGGAGAAGGGATTGTGGCATGACCACTCCCCTTGGGGGATGATCTCACATTCTCTCTCTCCACCTCTCCATCTCTCTGGCAGGCACAAAAATCTCTCTCTCAACAACAAAAAAATCTGATTTATATGTATTTTTTTACTACATATAAACAAGGAAAATAGTATAGGCAACTGATTAATAATTACACACAGGGGTGTAATCCTTTTTGTTTGTTTGTTTAACTTTATTTCTTCCATGAACAAAAAAGGCAAAATAAGAGACAGAAACACAGAGACCCCAACAGGGTCCCAATGCCACAATCCTTCCCAGGCCCAGAAAGTCCCAGTGCATGGGCAAGCATGTGCTCAGTATACTCAGGAACATCTCCAAATGCAAACCCAAAACTTTCCAATGTGGGTCTGCATAGCACAGCTTTGCATTTCACTACTGCACAACCATCTAGCCCCTAATGTTCCACTGGTGAAATAGTCAAAGAGTTAAGGAACCACTGATCTAGACAATGCCTTTAAAAAAAAAAACAAAAAAACTTTGCCACTACGACCAGCAATTGACATAATGGCTATGTTGTTGGACTCCCATGTAGTTGATTGCGGTTCGAGTCCTGGATCCGGTGGCTTAGACTCATGCCAGGTGTGTATGTGCCCAAGATCATGAGAGGAGAATGGAGGAGAAAGGACTGTGGTGTGGCCATCCCCCCTGGGTGGGGGGGTGATTTCTAGCTCTCTGTCTCTCTCTGCCTTTCTGGAGAACACACTCTATAGCAAAAATCTCTCCAAAAGCAAACAAACAAACAAACAAAAACAACTTTGCCAGGATTGGCAGATAGCATAATGGTTATGTTGCTGGATCCCCACATAGTCGAATACAGTTCAAGTACTAGACCTGGTGGCTTAAAACTCACACCAGGTCCATGTACACACATGCCCAAAATTCCAAGAAGAGAATGGAGGAGAAAGGACGGAGGCGTGGCCATGCCCCCTGGGAGTGATTTTTCCCTTTCTGTCTGTCTGTCTCTGTCATTCCACGCTCCCACTAGCAAAAGTTTCTCTAAAAATAGCAACAACAACAACAAAAAAAACTCTTTGCTAACATTACCATGTTAAATTTTAATAGAAATTTTCTCCTTTTGTCTCAGAACCTCAAGTGAAAACACAAAATTTCAAATATTTGCTTAAAAGTAGTTAGAGACACCAGCAGATGGCATGGTTATGTCACTGGACTCCACAGAGTCAACCGTGGTTGAGTCCCAGACCCAGTGGCTTAAAACTCACACTGGGCTTAGTGTGCATGTGTGCCCAAAATCCTGAGAGAAGAATGGAGAAGGAACTGCGGTACAGCCATCCCCGCTGGGGAGTGATTTCTCATTTTCTGTCTCTCTGTCTCTCCAGCAAGTGCACACACCCTAACAGTAAATATCTCTTTAAAAAAAAATAAAGTTTGATGGCAAGTTTGATGGCTTGTAGTCACTAGGCCCTTGAACTCAGAACTGATACCTCCTCTGCTTCTCTGTAAAATATGAAAATCATTACCTATCTCGTAGGCATAACTGCCGAGATCAGCTCTATAAAACTGTCAATTCCTGAGATTTTTTAAAAGAATTATTTATTCAATTTATGGATTTATTATTGTTTGATTTGACTAGAGACACACAAAGAAAAAGAGGGTAAGTAAGAAAGCAAGTCATCAGGTCTGGGACTTAAACCATGGTTGGCCATGTGGGAGTCCAGTACCTTAACTATCATGCCATCATGTGCTGGCCCCTCTTAGGAGAGATGCTATAGAAAAAATTTATATTTCCTGGAGCCAGCAGCTGGCGTAATGGCTATGTCACCGGACTCCCACATAGTCGACCACGGTTCAAGTCCTGGAACTCGTGGCTTAAACTCATGCCAGGCGTATGTGCATGTATGCCCAAGATCCCGAGAGAAAAATAGAGGAGAAGAAACTGCAGTGTGGCCATACCCCTGGGGGGTGATTTCTCACTTTCTGTCTCTGTCTTTCTGGTAAGTGCACGTGACCTTTAGCAAAAATTCCCCCCCCCCAAAAAAAAAGGAAAAATAAAAAAAGAAAATATTTATATTTCCTTTCTCTAAGAAGACCTAGCCTTCTAGAAAATCAATATTTATTTTTCCCTAGGTTAACAGTGAATGTAGGGGAGAAGGGAGTAATGGATAGCTGAAATACACAAGGAAGGATAAATAATACTCACCCAAACCTCCTTGGTTTTTTTTGTTTTTGTTTTTTTTTTTTTTGGAGAGATTTTCACTGTAGGGCGCGTGCGCTCGCCAGACAGACAGAGAGAGACATAGAGACAGAAAGCGAGAAATCACCCCCCAGGGAGGATGGTCACGCCACAATCCCTTTTCCTCCATTCTCCTCTCGGGATCTTGGGCACGCACGCACACGCGCCCGGCATGAGTTTTAAGCCACCGGGTCCGGGACACGAACCGTGGTCGACTACGTGGGAGTCCAGCGACATAGCCATTATGCTAACTGCTGGTTCCCAAACCTCCTTGTTTCAAAACACTCCCCCAACCCAAAATATCACCATGACCCTCCCATTTATAATAAGAATATCCACTTTACCATTTCTTTCCCATAGTGACATAAATCTTTTTGAAAGCACAACAAAGACAAAAGACATAAAATAATGGTTCCAACTCTAAAAACCAAATGTTACTACTGAAGCTTAAGCTTTCCAAACAGATTCTCGGTTCAGCTTAGGGGGCCAACTGGATCAAATCCTTGATCAGAGCCCTAACAGCTGACATGCCTAAAATATTCTATGGGAATACAGGCAGGAATAGATTGGGGAAGACTTGTTCTGCTGGTGATACAATTCAACAGAGAGGTATGTGAAACCAAATTAATAAAAGAAACAGCTTTGATTCTGACAGAAGAAAAATGTTGGCTGGTTTTAGGCACAGCTAAAATCACAGGAATAAAGAGTCTGCTAGTGTCACTCAATCAGTGCTGAAGGTAGTAAAAAACAGTGAACAGTTCCTATAAAGTAGTTTGCCGGTTTCTTTCTCAGCCAGAAAAGAGATTAAGCCTGTACTGCCATGAAAATCTATCAAATTATGCAGATACACCCTCAAAACACGTTCTCTCTCACACAAATACAAAGTTCACTATGCATCTTTATTAACTGTGTAAACTATTAATTCCAGGAATTACATACTTTAGGATTATGAAAATCTGTTTTTGCCAAAATAATCACAACTAAATATCCATCAAATCTCACTTCTTTTTCCTATGTAACTTAACTAATCACATTAACTATTCAATCAACATATTTATTGAGTATCTACTATAAACCAGATACTATTTTGTGAAATATATAATAGAATCTTTTCAGGCAGTAGCCTGAGCTACGAAAGACTTTATAAGCACATAAAATTAGAAAATAAGGTAAATTTTGCTATAAATATTGTCCACCAAATACCCTTAATTTTTCACTTTCATTTAAAATAAGTACTCTAATCTACAGAAGCAATTTCTGAACCTCACAAAGAAATAATCACTCCTATCACCCAATTCATTTCTATTATGTCTATAAAACAAAAGAGAAACCTGGTATTTATTCTCATCTCTCCTTTTGTTTCCCTAATATAGGCTACAAAAAATAGGGGGAGAGACAATATGGAATTAAATCTAATTTGTTGTACAAAGATCTAAAGTAAATACGCAAAGCTATCAGTACAAAAGAACTGAAATAAATCAAATATAGTTACGTTATGCTAAGATGTACAGACAACACCCAAATGCTGAAAATGTGCATTGACTTTAAATACAGAGCTGGCCTTAAGCCTGAAAATGCTGTCTCTAGAATACAGTCTTCAAGAGAAACTAATCTTTTGGTTTCAAACTAATGACTATTCTTCACTGAGGTTCTAAAAAAAAAAAAGTATTAGTACTATATCAACTAAAAGGTACTGTTACCAAGAAAAAAAGACTAGCTTATTGCCATACCGTACATTTCAAAACTAAAAGATTTAACTGCTTGGGGAATCCAAAAATGTTCTCTTGGTCCAAAGACCCTGACTATACCTTTGCCAATTCCAGTTTACTCAGTCACTTTTTAAATTATTTACCAGTGGAACATACTCCACTCTTATGTTCAAGAGCCTGAAAATATGTATGAAATAACTTTCCATGCATATTGGGTTCTTAAAAAAGGCAGCAAGTTGCCATCCTAGAAAACATGACCAACTAAGCATCCAAACCTATTATAAACTATTAGCCAGATTATTAGCCATAAATTTCTACATACTAAGTTGCAAACTGCAAGTTTGATCATTAGCAAGAGAAATAATTGCTAGGAGACAGAAACACTATAAAACCAGGTATAGACTCCAATACAAAGTGTAACAGCTTTTATTGTTAGATCCCATTGCAGTAAAACATGACATGTGAATAAACTCTATTCAAGTAAATATAAACAGTAAAAACCCAAAACCAATAATATAATGTACTGTAAGAACAGGGATCTAATATTCTTACACTTAAGTAACATGAACATGCAATTTACTAAATTTGAAATTCTGTAAGTAGCAAACTCTTAATAGGTTTTGATATTTAACTCATAATTCAAAGCAGCATTACCTCATCTGTCACTGGTTGCCGTTTTGCAGTGTGAAAGTGAGTCAACTAGTTCTTGAAGTCACATACCAAAATTCTTCTTAAAGTCCCTGGTAATTTTTGTGTGTGTGTGTGTGTGTGTGTGTGTGTGTGTGTGTTACTTTAACCTAACTACAAAAAGACTGTTTAGTCTGAACCAGTCCTCTCAAAAGCATGTATCTTCTGAGACAGCATTGGAGAAAACACTTCTGTGTCTAATTTAACTTGTCACTGGATATCACTGTTGCTCCACACAAATCCATTTGGAATAGAATTTCTTTGGCAATGGTGAACTTTATCCGTAACTCCTCCCCTTGCCTAGGAGTCACAATTTCCTGGCCAAGAGCCCAACAAGAGTTACTGCAACAACAAATGAGAATAAGAATTCAAGGAAAAAAATCTTGGGTCTTCTCTTTTCACTGTGTGTTTGCTTAATTAAACTCATATTTGAAGTTTGCTACAACCAAGTTACAAAAGTTTTCTAAATTATGGACCAAAAGATTACTTTTTTTACTTATAGAAAAAAAGGCTATGATGTAGAAAATGTATTTGTTGAAAACCTAACACCAAACTAGTATCTGTTATTGGCATTCCCATTTTTCCATTTAAGATTAAAATCTAGTAATTCTCTTTTGATTACTTCCTTCAAGTCCACCTCATGTGTCTTCATTTAAATTTCCAAACATCTGTGAAATCCAGATCCTCCATTTGATTCACGCTAGTAACAACCTGTCCAGGTCTTCACAAATTCAGCGATCATCTTCCACTTGTTCTGCCCTCACACTACTGCTAAATCTCAAAGTGTGGCCCGCACACCAATGCTGGTCTGGGAACATCTGTTACTAATTCATGACCAATTCAATACCTACAAATACTACAAGTATTTAGAAATTTTTATAGCAATTTGACAGAAAATCTATGTTTGTTGAAAAAAAGTAGGCTTCATTCTTCTAATAATTTATCCTTATTATATTTCACAAATACATCAATTTGAAACAGACTGGAATTTATTTTCAAACTGATCCTACATCAAAAACAGTTTGAAAAGCATTGCCCTTCATGAAGCCCAGCTCCAATGATGTCACCCTCCTACTTAATAACCTTTAGTCATTGTTCATTACCTACCTAATAAATTACAAAATCTTAGATTTGCACACAGTCCAAAACCTTTCATCAGTTTGATCTTATGTTGCTTCATAGCAAGCACTGTTTGCTTTAATAGTCAAAGCAAACTTGCTATTTTCGATGGTGTATGTGTTCTCTTTAACTGAAATGTCTACCTCAGTTATCTCTCAACTACTCAAGACCCTAAATCTCAAGTGATTTCTTTAAGAAACTATTCTGGCTGTGCCACAGAATTATGTGACAGTAATACCTCTGAGTCTCACATTACTTTTGTACTAAATTAAAGAAATTTCTTCAATAACAAAAAAATCTGGGACCAGCAGTTAGTGTAATGGCTATGTCGCTGAACTCCCCCATAGCCAACCGCAGTTTGAGCCCCAGATCCAGCAGCTTAAACTCACACTGGGCGCGTGTGCGTGCATGCCCAAAATCCCGAGAGGAGAATGGAGAAGGGACTGCAGCGTGGCCATTACCCCCTTGGGAGGTGTGATTTCTCTCTTTCTGTCTCTCTATCTGGTGAGCACACGCGCCCTATAGCAAAAACCTCAGGACACCCCGCCCTTTAACAAAAACCCCCCCAAAAAAAAAAAAAAAAAATCTATAAAGTTGTGATCCCAAGTGAGAGAATTGAATATTCAAAATCTCTTATTTCGACACTTACTGAATGTTGTTAAATACAGAAAAAAATGCATGTAGTTCTGGTATTTTTTTTTTAAGAATTATTTTATTTAACTTTATTTATTTATTTATTTTTAATTTGATCAGAGGGGGACAGAGCAAGAGCAAGAGAGAGGGAAAGTGAGAAAGCAAGCTGTGGCAGTCCGACATCCTTAACCACCACGCCACAGGCCGGTCCCAGTTCTTGTACTCTTTGCAGGATTATAAACTCTGAGACAGATTCATAGCCTTGTCAAAACCTAGCATAGGGCTTTGTAAACAGCAGACACAATATTTAAACTAAAAATTAAACTAAAAACTTAATAGTAGGTAATAGTCATCTGAGACTGTGGGGAGAAGTTTCTGCTAATGGGTACAGTTTCTTGCCAGGATAATGAAAATGTTCTAAAATTAGACAGTGGTGTTGGCTATACAGCTCTGAATACTAAAACCACTGAATTATACACTTAAAAAGGATGAATTGAATGGTATGTGAATTATATTTTAATAAAGCTGTTATTTTAAAAACTTAATGGGAAGGCCTTAGTCTACCATTATAACTGCATCCTTTAGTAAAAAATATGGCTAAGAACTTTATGAAATAGATTATTTGTTGGTTTTTTTTTGGGGGGGGTTGTTGTTTTTCTTTTAAGGTTTCTTCCTTAAGAAAGAAAGAGAGAGAAAGTGAGAAATCACCCTCTGGGTGATGGCCACACTGCAATCCCTTCTCCTCCATTCTCCTCATAGGATTTTGGGCACACATCCACATGCACCAAGTGTGATTCTCAAGCCACCAGGTCTGGGATTCAAATCACAGTCGGCCATGTGGGATCCCAGCTCCTTAACCACCATACCACCTGCTGACCCTATGAAATAGATTCTTAAAAACTGAAAGTTCAAATATCAGAGATATACAGACATAACAAAAAATTTTACAGTAGATTATAAAAGTCATGTAGTAGCATTAGTTTTTGTTTTCACAAATTCCAGCCAATAATTTCTTACTAATTTAACATTTTCTCTGAGGGACATCCTCAAGAGGAATACATTTATCAGATTATGCCAGAACAGCAGCCTATGCTCTAGAACTCTAACAACAAATGTATTGTCACTTATAAAATAAGACATGCACTTTTATTATTCGGTTTAGTCATTCATATAACCCAATATTTAAAAAAAGTTCAAGAGAAAAGTCAGTATGGAGGGATATATAGTACAAGATGATTAAGATTTAAGAAGTTTTGCTATCAATTGTAAAACTGATCCATATAACATACAGTTTAAAAACAGGGTTGGGGGGGAATCCCCAGAAGTTAAAGCCTAGTAAGAGATTCTACAAGATAACCAAGGGTTATCCATAAAATAAGGATAAAGGAGACATACATCTGCAATATAACAGAAGAAACCCACAGAGAATTCCATACCCCTGTCTTAACACTGAGTTCAGGGAGTGAGGGAAACCTTTCCCTGAGAATGTGAGCAAGTCTTGCAGGCTGTGTGTGGTCTGAATTTGCACTACTAAAATGGTAGGTACTACCCTAATGATTAAAAGAACCTAAAGCAAATCATTTCCAGAAAAAAACTTGAGTTCTAACATTTTATTGCTAGATAAACCCTAGTTTCAACAATGATTAAATGTTAAAAAAATAAATAAATAAATACTAGGGGATTGGCAGGAAGACCAGCAGGTGATGTAGTAGTTGAGGCACTGGACCCCCACATGGCTGACAGCGATACAAGTCCCAGACCCAGGGGCTCAAAACTCACACCAGGCACGTGTGCATGCATGCATGCCCAAATTCCCAGGAGGAGAATGGAGGAGAGAGGACGGAGTGCAGTGTGGCCATCCCCCTTGGAAGGTTATTTCTCACTTTCTCTCTCTGTCTCTGTTTCTCCAGAGAGCGCAAGCACCCTTTAGCAAAAATCGCTATAATTCTTTTTTTTTAATGAAGGCATGTGTACTGATCAGAAAGAGAAAGACAGAGAAAAAGGAAGAGGAGAAAGCACCCTCCATGAGCAATGGTCACACCACATCCCTTCTCCTCCATCTATTCCCCCTTTCAGGATTTTGGCACACATCCGCCCGCACTAGGCCGCTCTCAAATCTCTGGATTTGGGACCTGAACCATACAATTAGCCATGTAAGATACCACTGTCTCAACCACCAGGCCACCAGGCTGTGCCACCACCCTCCCTCCAAGTGTGTTTCTTAAAAGTGATAAAATATTAAGAGTACTGGTAATAATGTATAAGGGTGTCTTCAAAAACTTCATGGAAATGCATATTGTGAAAAAAACTATGCATGGAATTCTAAATTTTTTGCACCATAATAAACCTGTACTTTAATTCCATTTTTCCACAAACTTTCTTTCAAATTTTTTCATTCACTCACTGTACATCACAACATACAAAATGCTATTTCTCATCCAGAATACAATTGTATATTGGCTTAATCAAGGATATTACCATACATGCTATCGTCAACAAATAATTTTCCATTTGTTTCTTATATACTTATATATTTTTCCATATTTTTTTTTCTTTTCCCTGATTCCCTACTTCTCTCCTTCTGCATTTCCCACCCTCCTCCTACACGGTGTCTCTGGTATCTACAGTTGCTTTTCATGCTCTTTTTTTTTCCTGCCACATTTTATTGATACACAAAAGAATTATTTTATTTACCTTTATTTATTTTTATTTGACCAAAGAGGGAGAGTAAGAGAGAGAGAAAGTGAGAAAGCAAGCTGCCAGGTCCGGAACTCGAACCATAGTTGGCCATGTGGGAATCTAGCGCCCTTAACCACCATGCCACCTGCCAGCCCCTTGATTCACAAAGTATCTTAATCTAAATACTTTCAATGGCAAGTTCAGCTGACATACATGTATCTGTGAACATGCCTGACTATAAAACTCAGTAGAATGAACATACTTTAAAGTGGAACCTAGCTGAGGCTATATAGCTTATTGTGGTCATTATATATAATATGTGAGTGTGAGTGTGTGTGTGTGTGTGTGTATATATATATATAAATATATGCATGTGTGTGTGTGTATACATAAAAATATACATATATATTTCTTTTTTTTTGGGGGGGGGAGGTTTTTGCTATAGGGCGTGTGCGCTCGCCAGAAAGACAGAGACAGACAGAAAGCGAGAAATAACCCCTCAGGGGGGATGACCACGCTACAATGCCTTCTCCTCCTTTCTCCTCTCGCGATCTTGGACATGCACGCATAAGCGCCCGGCGTGAGTTTAAGCCACTGGGTCCGGGACTTGAACGGCGGTCCACTACATGGGAGTCCAGTGACATAGCCATTACACTAACTGCTGGTCCCAAAAATATACATATATATTTCAAGAAAAGCAGTTTTAGCTTTAATAAGTCAAAATTTAAAAATGTTACGAGAAATTTGCTTAATACTTAAAGCCAGGAAAAAGGTTAGGATTCTGTTCTAATAGTAGATAAATGG